AACTCCCAAGGAAGGCAAATTCAGATGATGACCCAGAGACACTCTTCAGTTTATCTTCATCTAATAATGGCAATGTTCCTCCTCATTTGTGCTTGCTTCTCAGTGTTTGTACTGATCACTTTTTACATGTATTTATCTAAGAAATAGTTGACAAAGTGATAGAAAATTGAGAATAAAAAAGAAAAAAAAACTAGGCTGGGGCAAATTACTTAATCTTTTGTAGCCCCAGTTTCTATATTATAAAAGGGGACCAAAAAAGTCTTACCTCCCAAAGCTGTTGAGAGGAGCAATGAAACAAACGTAGACATCGTGTATGATACAGATTAGGGGCTCAATCGATGACTGCTAGGTCTTTAAAATCTCAATAAGATAATTCCCTTAGTGTGGGAGTATGTGTGGGAGTGTGACTGTTGTGGCGTGTGTTTGTATATATACGAAGTGTGGTAAGGGTAAAGCAGGGACAAACCACACCGGGTAGGGTCATGGCAGATTCCAGAGAAGGCAACTTTTGAGTTCTTACAGAGAAAATATGGAGTGTGACAAGTCGTAGGAGGCCCAGAGGCCTGTGAGCTGCGGCAGAATCACACATTTGGTAAACTGGAATATGCCTCTTATATATGCTTTTCATATCTTACTACAGAAAATTTCAAAGGTATGCAAAATGGAGAGACTAATATAATACACCCCTGTCTACCTGGCTTTGACAATTATCAATTCAGGGCCAATCTTGTTACATTATATCCCAAGCTACTACTTCTCCATTGCTAGATTATTTATAAGCAAATCTCAGAATCATGTAATTTCATCTATGAATATTTTAGCATTATGCTTCTTGTATTTTCTTGTGGCCTTCTCATTATTTAATAAAATCTTAAAAAAAAAAAACCAAAACGGTAAGTGTATCTGATTTAGTATATATACTAATGTGGAAAGATCTCATAAACGTTCAATGTGAAAAGCTACAGACATCACAATTACGTTTAAAAGACACAAACAAAAAACAAACAGTAAAATAGATGTGTGTGCTTCAAAACATGTAAGTATATATAGAAAGATCACTGCACAAATGTGTGTCAAACTGCTAATCCTGATAACCTCATAGGTGGGGAGTAGTGATTTAAAGGGTGAACTCAGGGCACCTGGGTGGCTCAGTCGATTAAGCATCTGACTCTTGATTTTGGCTCAGGTCATAAGCCCAGGGTGGTGAGATTGAGCCCTGTCTTGGGCTCTATGCTCAGCGCAGAGTCGGCTTGAGATTTTCTCTCTCCCTCTCCCTCTGCCCTTCCCCCTCTCACTCTCACTCTTTCTTTCTAAAATAAATAAATAAAGGGCGCCTGGGTGGCTCAGTTGGTTAAGTGACTGCCTTCGGCCCAGGTCATGATCCTGGAGGCCCCGGGATCGAGTCCCACATTGGGCTCCCTGCTCGGCAGGAAGCCTGCTTCTCCCTCTGACCCTCTTCCCTCTCGTGCTATCTCTCATTCTCTCTCTCTCAAATAAATAAATAAGAGCTTAAAAAAAATAAATAAAATAAATAAATAAAATCTTTTTTTTTTTTAAAAAGAGTGAACTTAAGGGGCACCTGGGTGGCTCAGTCAGTGAAGCATCGGACTCTTGATTCAGGCTTAGGTCATGATCTCAGGGTTGTGAGATCAAGCCCCGCGGTGGCTCCACTTTGGGCACGGAGCCTGCTTGGAATTCTCTCTGTGCTCCTTCTCTCTCTCTCTCTCCCTCCCTCCCTCTCAAAAAAAAAAAAAAAAAGAGTGAACCTAAGAATTTTGTCCTGTAGGCATTTACATCGTTTGACACTCAAATGAGAGACAATATATTCATCATTACTTATGTAATTCTGTTTATAAAAAGAAGAGAATCGAAGCACTTTGCTCGTTGCTGCCCAGAGTGACAGGAACTCATGTGGGAAACATAAAGAAGTTTCAAGTGCAGATTTGAGTTTCTAGCTACGAAGTGACCTTCCAACTTCCTTTCTAATCAAGTTTGTTTGGTTTTTTTTTTTTTTCCCCTGCCAACTAAAAATACACTACCCAGTTCAGGAGCCTCTGCTGACTGAATAGCAGCGGCTGCCAAGGCCCTACTTTGCATATTGAAAGAACCTTGGAGGATAAACAGCAGCAGCTCATGTCCGCCGCGGAGGCACGGTGGGAGCTCCTCACACTTCTGTCTTGGCCTCCGCATCACCGTCCCGGCACATTTTCAGGAGACGGTCTCTGGCCACTGTTGGTTTTTCCCCCTTAGCGTCCGGAAACCTCCTGCAAATGCTGTAAGAGCGTTAGTCGGTAGTGGAAGCTTCGGTGCAGGGCTAACATCCTTCAGCTCTTTCTCGGCTCATTGTTTCAGAAAGCACATCACCAACTGCTAGTTCCTTTTCCTCTTGTGTTTTTTGGTTTGTTCTCTTTTGTTTTCAGAAAGCACATCACCCACTGCTAGTTCCTTTTCCTCTTGTGTTTTTTGGTTTGTTCTGTTTTGTTTTTGAGAGAGAAAGAAAGAGATACTATTTCTGTTTGGAGGGAGACAGGGCAAAGAGAGGCAGGCAAGGAAATCTGCACCCCCCCCCCCGACTTTTCCAGGTTCCTCATTTGGTTATAAGGAGGTGGCGATAAAACAAAACAAAACAAAAAACCAAAACAAAACAAAAAAAGAGATGGTGTTATCAATAAAATGGAAACTAGAAATAGAAAAGTTCTGGAAAATGAGCTGTGCTGTAGCTGTAAAACACTCACAAGGCACTCAAAGTGGTAATGATTCTAAATACAATTTATAATGCAAAATAAAGACAGTTTAAAGAGTCTGCAATATATTCTGTATGTAATTCTGATACACGATGTCCTAGTCTTCACGTACAGGAATGATGCTGACCACTCCCATTCATATGATATACAGATGCATTTCGAAGAGTTTTTTTGAAAAATCATGTGATCGGGGCGCCTGGGTGGCTCAGTCGGTTAAGCGTCTGCCTGTGGCTCAGGTCATGAACTCAGGGTCCTGGGATGGAGCCCCTGCAGCAGGCTCCTTGCTCAGCGGGGAGCCGGCTTCTCCCTCTCCCTCTGCTGCTCCTCCTGCTTGTGCTTGCTCTCTTTCTTCTCAAGCAAATGAATAAAATCTTTAAAAAAAAATTAAAAGTCATGTGATAGACTGTACAAAGTTATGCTTATAGCTGCTCAATAAAAATTGTCCTATAAGATATTGTCCTATAAGATATTCGAGCTGAACTAAACTTTACAGTACCTAGTCCAACCTTTCTTCTCAAGTCAGTGGCTTCTTCAGCTCCTGTCCACCTCTCGCCGTCCTCAGGGCTCACGCAGAAGGAACCAGGAGCAGAGTGATAGCAGCACTGCCCCCTTGGCTCCCAGGCCCCAGACCCACATTATCCTTGGCATCTGTGTCCTTATCCTCGGTGCATCCCAATCCTCCTGTCAATCAAGTCCTGGCAGGATCCCCATGGATTCATCAGCTGGACAGGACTGAGTCTCAGCTTGGTCTGATTGCCCTGCCCCACAGATTAGACGGACAAGCCCTCCTCCAGACAGTTCTTTAGTGCTTGGAGACTGCTCTGGGGTAATGACAAAGATTCTTTGCTTGGCTAAACTTTAGTCAGGCTCCCGAACCTTCTTCTAGGCTCATCTGTGCACTTCCTCGTAAAATCTCGTTTTAGCAAGAACCCTGCTATGTGTTAACCAGAATGCCCTGCCCTTAATATCTGATCACCTCAATATCTGATCGTATTCCTCAGCCCTACCTTCCCCCAGGTGACATCTGGTCACCTGGCTTGCCTTCAGCAAGAATCCTGTTAGAGGTCAGTTTAGCCAGAATCTCCCCTGACCCCTGATGTTCCCTCTCATACTTTTCCATCGGCTAACCCCCACCCTTGCCGATCCTTGGGTCTAAGTCCCACTTGCCCAGGCTGGCTGCAAAATGACCCCGCAGAACTAAGCAACAGTAACAACACAACACAGTGGGGTGTGTACATAACACACTCTGTGTTTTCCTAACCACTCCCTCCTGTTAAAATACCCTGGCCTAAGAAAAGCAACGACATTTACAACAGGCTGTTTGCTCTCTATAAAGCACTTTCTAGGTGAGTAGCAGACACGCTAAAAGAGGAAGAGATGAATAAATTCCAGCAAGATCTTGAGCAAATTATTTACTCTGAGCCGCTTTTTTTATTTGTAAAACAGGAGAGTCATAAACCCCCAACTCAGTTCTTGGCATTCTTTTTTGTTTGTTTTATTTTTTTTAAAGATTTTATTTATTTGACAGAGAGAGCCACAGCGAGAGAGGGAACACAAGCAGGGGGAGTGGGAGAGGGAGAAGCAGGCTTCCCGCCGAGCGGAGAGCCGGAAGCGGGGCTCGATCCCAGGACCCCGGGATCATTATCTGAGAGGAAGGCAGATGCTTAACCGACTGAGCCACCCAGTCGCCCAGTTCTTGGCGTTTTAATAAAATGATGCATGGGAAAGCAAAAAGCACCCCACAAATGTGACTGGTTCCAAGAGCCAAATCACTGGAGCTGCAGATGCCAATTAGTGAGCTGCAGAGTCAACGGCTTCTGATTGGCCATAATTTTTTTAAAAATTACGTTTTCTGGAGGTATCATTGTTTGCTGGGAAAAACATGATGACATGGCCGAAAAAAAAAATTAAGCAGTAAGTTTAACTGCGCAGTTCCACCACAGTGACACAACTATTAAATTTTTACCGTTTACCTTCAACATAGTTACTATTTTTTAGAGGGTTTTAATCATACTTAGGCAGTTTTTAAAAGCCTGTAGGGTCCAAGCAAACAAAAGAATCTCCAGGCTCCAGAAAAAAACAACAACAACAACAACAACAACAACAAAAAAAAAAACCCAAACCCAAAAAACCATGAAGTCATGTGTTCTGATCTGCTAAGAAACGGAGCTGGTGCGGGGCTTCGCCGGGCTGGGGACATTTGCACGTCCCGTCCGCCCCGGGAGCACAGCTCCGGCCCCGCCCACCTGGGGAAGGAAGCGGAAAAGGGGAACCGGCAGCAGCCCCCTGCAGTTCCTTCTCTTCTAGCCCTTGGGACGCTACCGCCACGCGGAAAGCAGTTGCGGGCGAGCGGACTGCCACAGAGGAGGAGCTTTCGGCCGCAGCCTAGTAACACCGAGGTAACTTTACTTGCCCTCTTCCCCCGCCCGCGTGAGGAATGAACGCCGCCTGTCTTTTATTTTCTTCCAGGGGCAGCCGCAATATCCCCGCCCCCCCCCCCCGGGGGAGAGATGTCCCAGCCACGTGTACCCTAGGGTGGGAACAGGGGTTTGTTTTTAAAATTTGGGCTTTTTAAAAGAAAAAAAAAAAAAAATAAAGGTGAGTCGTGCTCTGTAGGCAGTTTACCTTGATAAGGCAATGGAGGAAACCACTTGGCTGTGACTTGTAAATGTGTCCCCAGGCCACCGTATCTGGAATAGCCACTGTTTGCAGGACGCAGTGCTGGTCCTGAGGGGAGCTCCAAAGGCAGCCGACTGCCCTCTTCACTTGGTGCACTGAACTGGAGCTAGCTTCCACTTTGGGATTAAGGCTTATAGGAAGAAAATAGAGGCGGGAAGCCACAGACTTGCCAGAACTGAAGACATCTTTCGGTCATTCCTACCGAACTGGGTTATATCTAACTGGAACTTCCTTTTGCCTCTTTGCTTTTACTACCAAGGAAGGTGAGCCCACGTTGGCTGTCTTCCAGGAAGCCCTACCCTCTTCTCTGATGCAGCCCCCTTCTCCCCCTTCCCGAGATAGATCAGCTTGGGGTGACTCATTTGCCCTTACTTCCTGGCCCTTTCAGAGCCCAGGCCTGTGTTTGAAACCTGACATTGTAAAAGACACTTCCTGCTTTGGGAGGAGAGGCTCTTCTTCCATGTGCCTGCGTGAATTTGTGTTCCTCCCGAAAAGAATGGCTGATGTGTGCACCTGGCCTTTCTCCCCTAGGGGTTAGCAGTGGCCACCATGGGTTCTGTGAATTCCCGAGGTCACAAGGCAGAAGCCCAGGTGGTGATGATAGGCCTCGACTCAGCTGGGAAGACCACGCTCCTGTACAAACTGAAGGGCTACCAGCTGGTGGAGACCCTGCCCACTGTTGGTTTCAACGTGGAGCCTCTCAGAGTCCCTGGGCATGTGTCTCTGACCATCTGGGATGTAGGGGGGCAGACCCAGCTGAGGGCCAACTGGAAGGACTACCTGGAAGGCACGGATGTCCTCGTGTATGTGCTGGATAGCACAGACGAAGTTCGCTTGCCCGAGGCGGTGGCTGAGCTCGTGGAAGTCCTGAATGATCCACACATGGCCAGCGTCCCTTTCTTGGTGCTGGCCAACAAGCAGGAGGCGCCCGATGCTCTGCCGCTGCTTGGGATCAGAGACCGGCTGGGCCTGGAGAGATTCCAGGACCGCAGCTGGGAGCTCCGGGCCTGCAGTGCCCTCACCGGTGCTGGGCTGCCCGAGGCCCTGCAGAGCTTGAGAAGGCTCCTGAAATCTGGCTGCCACTGTGTCTCCACGTGAGCGCAGGTGCGGCAGGGGAGTGGGGAGAGCAAGAAGACTGGACCCGGGCAGAGCAGCATGCCTTTGCCCATACGAACTGAAAGAAGCCGCTAGTCCTTGAGAATCTTAAACTCATTTTGTCAAACAAGACGTCCTTCTGTGCTTGGACAGGATATTTTCTTCTTGGGGCTTATTGTCACTAGGGTTTATGCTGAAAACCAACTATTCTTTGAATAATAATACTCTAAGGGGAAAAAAATGCCTCAACACACTTCCTTTAATAACATTACCAAGGGTGAACTGAGCAATTGTAATAATAGAACAATGAATGGTTGCATTACAATTAAGACCTAAATTTACAGAGGGAAAGAGGTTTCAAAATCAGATTAGAATATCATCTGGACATGGTCACGATCTTAGGAGTGATTTTTCCCTGGTGCCCCTGGGTATGTGCCACAATCACTGTGAGTGCAAGCTGCCAGGGCTAGCAGATTGGAGTAGGTGACTCTGCCCCCACGGAACCTTGGGTTTAGAAGTTCGCTGGGGCATTTGGCCCTTGGCAAGAGGCTGGGAGTTAAAGCCTTCCAAAATTTATCCTTGTCTCTGACCCTGATGAACTCTTCTCCACCTTTTATCATCTTGTATTGGTCTTTCTCTAAAACGCTTCATTTTTATCTTTTTTTTCTTTCTCTTTTCTCCATACAGCACATATCTTTCCTTAAAGATCAGATTAATGAAAGATTTCATTCATTTATTCATTCATATAATCAACAAATATGTAGAGCATTGAATTTGGGCAAACAGCACTGAGTTTTTAGTTATGAGCCAGGCCCTTGAGATGGGAGGTGTGGATTTTGAAGAATACATGTAACAAAAATGCTTCTTTCTCATTATTAACAGTAAAAAAGAAAGTTGAACATAGCATCCTACAAGGGTTTTCAGGTGATCTTTACCTAGGAACCATTAAGCTCCTGAAATTATTTGCAAAATGTTATGCTTTGAGCCTTTTTGGTGGGGGGGGGGAAGAAGATCCATAACTGATCCATCAGACTTTCAAAGGCTTTTGTGACTCCCAGAAGTTAAGAATCACTGATCTGGTCTTATCTATCATCCAACGGAGGAATACTTTTTATAGTCTGAGCTTTTTAATGGCAAGCAGCTCATATTTGACACCTGCTCTCATGTTAAACAGCTCTACATGTTGGCTATTCCTACTCTGGGCTAAAACCTTCCTCCTTATGGATGGTGGTTCTCCCCTCTCTGGAGTGACACAGTATAAATGGGCCCTCAACACTCTTCCGACATCTGAGATCCACTAGGTCTTACCCAAATTCTTCCTTCTCACATCAGGTTAGGCACGCTAAGTTCTTTCCACTACTTGTCAGTAGATAGGTTTTCCTGTGTCAGGCACAGGAAAGTACAAAGATGCAAAGACAGATTGGGCAAGGCCTCAGGCCTCATGGAGCTCTGCTTGGGGAAGCAGTAGAACAAATCTCCCATAAAAAAAGCAGATGGAGGCTCAATTCAGCAACTGTTTATTGAGCACTTCCTGGGGTCAAGTTCTGTGCTCGGTGCTTTCCATAGTTATCTCTAATTCTCTCAATTCTGCAAAGTAGGTATCATTCTCATGTTGCATAATTAGAAGCTGAGGCTGGGGGAGGTTCTGACTTGCTTGAGGCACAGAACTATTAAGTGACATATCTGGAATTTGAAACCTGGTAGGTCTAGCCCAAATGATGCCTGTATTCTTCCACAACATCATGTTTCTAGCAGGTTGAAGCCAAGGTTGAGCTTCAGTCAGCTGATGTGATGAGGGAAGCAGTCGAGTCAGATGAAGAAGACTGCTTGGAAGTATGAGGGGGAGTGAAGGAAGGACAAGTAAGCTGTTGTGGGGTGAGGGGTGGATGCGGGGGATGTATTATAATAGGAAACAAAACTGGAAAGAACTTTTAAGTCCAAGCTGGGGAAGATTTGGACTTTCGTAATCCGGATTTGGCTCAGGGAAGTGAAACCAGTGGACTTACCATTTAGGAGGATAATTTAGTGGCTGTGTAGGGTGGGCTAAAAAGAAGGGGGACACTGGAGTCAGGCAGGCAGGGAGACCAGCTAGCTGCCTTCGCAGTAACAGAGGAGAGGGGAGAAGAAAGAGGAGAAATTGAAAGCCATTTTTGAGGGAAAAAGCTGAGAGAAGAACAAGTTGAAGATGGTGTTAAGATTTTGAGTGTATGTGACAGGAAGGATTGGAATGACCTGAGAAGGTGGACACAGGAGGAACGAGTTGGGATGGGGCCGGAATTGGTGGGCTCTGGTCTTAAAGTGCTGGGTATGGACGTGTTGATAGCTTCTTTCAGATTGTTCTATTACCTGCAGTCCCTGAAATACCGAGTACCCTGCTGGATGCATCAGCTGGTTCCCACACACAGAGGCTCCTTTCCCTCCTGATGTGTCAGTTTTTATCATGAGCTCATCTTTGGTATGATTTGTTTTTCCTGTGTGACCCCCAAGTGCCCTGCGTTGTGACAATGTTTCTACACAGAGTGGTTTCACATTAGTGTTGACTAGGCTCCTGGAGGTTTCAACTGTTTTAGATCAAACATTATGTTAATTTCTCTGCTTGGGGCTCACGGCCTCACAGGTGGCATCGATGTGGGTTCTGTGCCCATTCATGGCACAGGCCCTAGGCATTCAGTTTCTGACACGTGACTTTTCTTTTGCACCCATGACCCAAAAAGACCATTTACTTCTTCATACTTTCCTGAGCTAGTGAATACCATTTCCCAATCCCCTTTTTAGGGAAGGGGCATCTCTTTGATGCTCTTGCTTTTCTCTTGAGCTCAAATCAAAATTTTCTCTCTTCCAAGCAAGCCTAAGGCCATACCTCCTGTTCTCATACAGGTGTTATAACCTTAGCCCGGTCCCTAGAGCCTAACCTTGGCTTCTCTAGTATCTCCGTGGGCTCCAGGCTCCCAGCTTACACTTACCGCCTTTGACTGTGGTTTTGCTCTTCATTTCTGTCACTTGATATCCTTTCTTTTGTTCAAGGACAGCATGTATTAAAATGCAATTTTTTGGTGATAGTTTACCCAACATTTCCATCCCTCTGTAATAGGCAAGGGTCCATCTGCTATGGACTGTCTTTCTGAATGTCCTGAACTGTTTTGATATGTGGCAGGGAGATCTGTACTTAGGAAGATGGCTTGGGTAGCTGACTTGGGGTGGAGAGGGGGTCCTAAAGCAGGGAGGCAGGGTAGAAGGTGACCAGGATGTCTTTTGACTGACATGCACGCTCTTGCCACCCCTGGGGCAAACAGACATCCTGTCACTGCAGAAGCCATCACGCTGTGGGCATCTGTTTCCTTTCTCTTGACAATTGTCCGTCTCTTTTCTAACATCAGGATGCACCAAGATCTTGTCCAGCTCTGAGAGCGTTCTCCTTGCTTGGACCAAACAGAATGGACAGGGGGACCAGTAGATAGTGTGTGACGACAGCCCCAAATCCTTGAAGGCAGATGTGCTCTTAACAAGCCCCAGGAGCTCTCCTCTCATCAGCACCCCCTTGGATAAGATTTGGGAAGAAGGATAACAAAACAAAATATCCTAAGAACCGTGCCCATTAGTGCTCAGTTGGTGTTGACCAGAACTCCTTGCTGGTCCCTGCTTGAAGGGATTGAATGCCAAATCAGTCACAGAATCACCCAGCAGGTGAGTTGTGGAATGGGAACTATACAACTCTCTGGACAGAAGGTGGAGTTTGAGAGCCTCAGAGTCCAAGGGCAGCCTGCCAGCCTTCAACCTCCCCAGCTTCTGAGACGTTTGACTCGTGTGAGTATGGGAACGCCATGGCATGCAACGCCCCCCCAGCACCTTCCTGGGATTTCCCATGCCCCTCTGTGCATGTGCTCTGGCTCTTCAAGCTTCCATGTCAGCAGGCAGTCCTGTAGTTACATGAGTGATGCTAGCTAGCTGTGGCAGCAGGCCTCTGGGGTCACACAATCTTAGGGAAGCCTCCTGAACCCCAAGTGTCTTTTAGGCTTAGGATGTTTTCCTGTTTGAATCTTGCCCACGATTTTAAGGCTTTCAGATCCCACCTTGCAGGAAGCTCTGCCCGTATGCCTCAGCCCATGCTCATCCCCTTCCTGAACTCTCCTGGTGCTGGCCCACTTGTTAGTGCCTGAATTGGGGCTGTTCTACACCTGGGCACATAGTCTCTCCAAGGATGGTCTAAGTTCCTAGGAGTTCAGGGGATGCCTTACACCCTTTGATCCTCTTCAAAGCCTATAACGATATTAGGTACTGAGAGCTGCTCATTAAATAGCTGGGTGAATAATGAATAACTGCTTAAAGCTATTGAACTGGGTGTCATGGCGGGGAGTCCCCAGGTCCTCTGAACTGTCCAGAGTGAAATCCCCAAATGAGAACTCTAAGAGGCTCATTAGCTCGAGAGCCAAAATGGCAGCACGAACCTGTACTTCAGGCATCCTCTGTAGTAAAGATAACAGCAAAAAGTCATACATGCTCTTTCCGGAACATGTCATGCTCAGAACCACCTGACTTGTAGTCTGAGTAGGAGAGTGAATGCTAAGTGGGGACCTAGTGAGGTATGGCAGGGGGCCGCCGGGGAGGCCAAGGCCCTGGAGGTAGGTGGCCAGTGAGAGCACGCGCAGGGCCCAGAGCCAGTGCCCGGGAGGAGGCCAGGTTGCTCTCCTGCCCAGGCAGGGGCCCTGCCTTGCCCACTCCAGGGCTCCCATCCTTCCTTCTGCTTCCACCCTAACACTGGTGGTGCTGGAGGGAGGCTAAGACTCCATCCTTTCTCAGAGCCTTCCCTGAAGACCACGGGGAAGCTAGCCTTGCCTGCCTGGAAGCAAAATGACAATAGGTCCAGGCTAGCCCTTGCAAGTGGGAATCACACTCCCTTTGCTGCTGGCAACTGAAGGGTAGGGCAGTCAGTAGTCAGTAGGGTAACCTCAGCCCTTGCTTCGCCACCTGAGGCAGGCCAGGGCCCTCCAAGGCCATGGAAGCGGGAGGTAGGGGGGCAGATGGAAGGGTTTCCCTCCTGCTCTTCTGTTCAGAGAGATACATATTCATATTCACACACATATACACATTACAGAGCTACAAACAGGAAATCTTAGGAAAAAATAAATCATGCTTTCTGGTTTGTTTTTTAAATGGTGCTCTCCTTACCTGAGAGGTACTTTGCCTATTCCAATTCCCCACACCTTTCAGATCCATCAAGCTCCCATTAATCCCCGAGAGTGAGTGAAGGAGCAGCAATGTGCACCAGTGGACGTGGCTATAAATGCAGGACAGCAGGTGTCTGTTTTCTTCTTAAATTAAAATGCCTCTGTTCTTTTTTACTGCGAACACTGTGTACAGTGAGAACCGTTCCAGTTTGGAGAGCTGATTACCCATCTGAATATGAGGCTGAGTTTCTCCCTTTCTGACTCACGGATTTTAAAGATTTTTCTCCTTCCTCTCTTGGTCAGAATCAATCCTCTGGTGAAAGTGAACCACAGGGGTTGGTTTTGATTTGGTTCTGCTGTGGTTTTCAGTTGTCTGTCCTCCCCGGTCTACACACGCACATCCGCCTGCGGGGCTGGGATAGTTGTGTCCCTCCAAGTGGACCAGGCGCCCATGCCCCACACGTGGGTGAGCCAGGACCTTGCCTTTCCTTCTTGTTCTCAAGGATTTAGAGCACACATCAACACCTCAAGTATTCCCAACCCAGCCTCGGGTGGGGTGGTGAGGTCCCCTCACAGAAGACTTGCACTTTCCTCAGAACCAAGATGATGCAACTCAGTGGGGTGAGTGGAGAATGGGCAGGGGGAGGAGGGAAGGTGGGGCGGAGCCCTCCCTTCCAGAAGCCCCAGGTCCGGCCTTCAGACAGATGGAAGTCAAATAGGAATGAGGAGTTGTTTAGTCTGTGCCTCTTTCTGCAGAGCCTGGGATGAGATGGGAGAGTCCCTGGGTGAACAGGAGGTGGAGAGGCCAACCTTTGCTGCCACCTCTTGGCCTGGAAGGACAAATACAAATTCAAAATAGGAGAGTTAATTGTCCCTGTTGAAAAGAAGAGACTTCTCCCTGCATCCCTTTTCTTAGAGCATTAACTTTAGACAACTTGTAAGTTCCTTCCTCTGTCTCTTTGAAATGTATGTAAATCCTTTAAAAAGCTAAATAAAGCTGTTGCCAGCTTTAGGACTCAGGAATGTCTTTCTCAAGGACCTGGGACCAATCCCTTTGAAATGTCAATATCCGGGGAGATAGGGCCTGCCTCCCAGTCTCTGTGGAAGGGCAGGAGCCTAACTTGGCAAAGCACCTCACTCCACGTCGCAAAACTACTTCCTGTCATAAAGGACAGGCGAAGCCAATTAGCTAACAGATGGTAACCCCAATTACCAGGTAAATCTAGGATGAACCTTGTGTGACAAATGGTGCTGTCACGCCCTCTGACTTGAGGACTGGTTATTATGTAGGTAATGGGTTGTGTCTGGCTGGCTGTATCAGAGGGTGAGATTCCTTTCTGTCTTTGCAATCTCTAGCTGATTGCCTGTAACACACATCACATTCTGGCTGAAAGCTTATTCAGTAAGAAAACTGTCTTCCTTCGTGGAGAGGTTGGCAGATTGGTTTTAATTCTAGTTCCCCAACAGCTCCCATTGGTTTGGCTCTGTGAGCTTCTAGTCGAACCCATGATTAGCAAAATAATATTGGTGAGGGCTAATAACTGGAATGCATCCTAGAAAGTTTCTGAAGGACTCCTAATTAGGAATGATGAACATGAGTTCAGTATGACCCAAGGCATTCTCCTCTCACAAGATTATGGAAACCTGTGACTGCCTCCAACTTACCAAGAGACGTGTTTCTTGGTGTGGTGAAGCATGACCCCTGTATCCCTTTCCCATAGGGCTCGTAAAAGCAGCAGCTCAGGAAAAACAAAACGATTTTAGAAAGGGAAGAAAAAGGAGTCTTTTGTTTTTACCTCATTGTCTTGATTTCCACTCCTCTGACAACATTCACCCCCAAGGAGATCTGGCTCTACAGCTACAGAGCATAAATACTTAAAAAATTTCCATGAGAAAATGGCCTTGTTCTGCCTCAGATTTCAAGGTAAGACCTAATAATGAATCCTTCTCCCTCCCCTGACCCCCTCCTCCCCACCAGCAACTTGGAACCTGGAAATATCCATGTGGATATTTTTGCAGCCTACTTTCAAGCATGAAATCACAAACCTAAACAAATTAGTTCTCACAAAAGCATTTCCATTTCTTCAAATAAAAGGAAGCATCATGATTATAAACTATCTCCAGATTATGAACATGATACCATTATCATTTTGCCATTTTTATTTACCTTTTTGAATTCCACAAACTTCAATTTCATATGGCATGAAATGTTGGCTTAACCTGGAAGGAAAATATAACGGATATAAATAAATGTATACAAAGATTTTGGGGGTTATGAAAATTCTTCCATGAGAGAATCACTATCAAGACGGAGATGCAGCCCCACCCTTTGCTCAAAATGGTGCTGTCTAAATGCAGTTAAGTGCTCTGGTTTGGAGCCTGGCCTTAAAGTCGGTCAGAACTGACCAGAACACCAGCTCTGTGCCTCAGCAGCTGGGGAACCTGGGCACATTATTTAACCTACCTAAGCTCCAGCTGCCTCATCTACAGAATGGGAATGATAATAGGGAGTACCTCACAAAGTTCTTGTGAGAATTCGTGAGGTAATGTGTCCCTCCTAATGACCCCCTTCAGGTAGTATATTCATCATATTCTAGCCCAAACTCACTGGAATGCTGCAGGTAGAGCCGGGGGAGTGAATGTCCAGGCTTCTCAGGTCTGAAACCAGCTCTTAATGTTGATCTAGAAAATTAGAATTCAGTGAGATAATGTGTCCATCTAGTCAACTTGTATTTCTTGAGCACTGACTATGTGCCAAACACTGAGCTATGTACCAGAACGACAGGATGAAGGAGACACATGGTCCCTGCCCTCCAGCACACAGTCTAGCTTTTGATATGGGACAACTATGAGATCATGCTACCGTATGTTAAAAATGCATATGAAACAGAGTTCTAGGGGCCTAGGCTTTCTTTGCAGCTTTAGAATTTTCCAGACCCAGACTTGTTCTGCAGTGAAGAGGGTGTTATAGCTGGTGAAAGGGTAGAGGGGGTGGGAGTGAAGTCACAAGACAGCTCTTACGAATTCTGAAACTCTGGACACTTAGGCTCCATCCGCCTTCCTACCATTTCTACTGACAGCTCTATTTTAGTGCTTCTCCTCTGCCCTTTCCTAGCCCAAAGCATTTCAATAAAAGTACTGTAAGCCTAGAATTAATATCTCCTCCATGCACTTTATTTATTATTATTTGAGTATAGTTGACCCAAAATTTTACATTCGTTTCAGGTGTACAACATAGTGATTGGACAAGTTTATACACTATGCTTTCTTCACCACATTTAAATGCACCCCCCTCTTACAAAGTAGGTTGAATGGCTAGGAGTGATTTCAGAAGACTGGAAATTGAAGCCGACACTAAATTCCACTCCTCTTTGAAATTCTACATTTACAGGTTCATTCCTTGGACTTCAGTTTTTAAAAGAAAATATCCCTAGAAGAAGGGCAGCAAGGATGGTTTAGTTATTTGCACTTTAATGTGAATGAATTCTCAATATCTTTTCAGGAGAGGTTTTGTTAAGAATGCAAAGCTAAAAGTTGAGAACAGCTGAAAAAGGGAAGGAGTACCACCAGAAACGTAAGAGCTGGAATTTCACAACTTTGCTCAAGGCCGTATGAATGTGGGCCCCCTATCTCTCATTGTCCACACAGCAGGGACCTACTATGTACAGAAATAAGGCCCAAGAGGGAACGTCTGGGTATGTGGGACTGCCACCTTCTCAGGCACTTGGAAAACAGTGGAGTGGAGAGCTAACTGGCCAGCCAGGGAGCACCTCTCTGGAATGGGGAGTGAGTAAGGAATGAATAATCTGGTCTCTCCTTCCTCCCATCCCCCATTATCTCCATCAGAGGTTGGCCTCCCAGGGCACAGAGCAGGGTAGACAAGGGTGGGGAATGGCAAATGGAAAACAAGCAGCCCAGGCTCTTTTATTTCTGCTCAGTAGAGAGTGCTAACGTACAAGGGGCAAGTAGCCAGAAGGTAGCATCAGTCTTTAACTGGAAAAGCCACTTTTTCCTCAGTTGTATCCTGTACTTGGAGTGGGGCTTCTCCACGTGCAGAAGGATAACATCATGACCCAGGCAGAAGAAAAAGTGAAGATCACAAAATTCCACGGGCCTAATCCTACCTGGGGAGGGAATTCATTCCTTTAAATTAGCATTCCAAACTCTTCAAGTAAGTCATTTGCAAAGGTACCCCCTTCTACCACTTTGAGGGTAAGATTAAGTTCTCGGGATCAGATGATCCCTAGGAATCAAGAGCTCTGGGCTGCGGGGGTGAGAAGCCTGCTGGTTGTTTTGTTCTGACATGGCTGTGGGTCACAAGGTTCTTACACAAGCTTGGGGGTGGCCTGCCAGGCCACGAGCGCTTCCTTCCCCTCAGCTAGTGATGATGACTCCAATTTCAGAAAGGAGCTCAACCAGCATGTTCATCTTGGGGCACTTCTCAGCCATTTTCTAGATCAACATTAAGAGCTGGTTTCAGACCTGAGAAGCCTGGACATTCACTCCCCAGGCTCTACCTACAGCATTTCAGTGAGTTCGGGCTAGAATATGATGAATATACTACCTGAAGGGGGTCATTAGGAGGCACAGAGAAAGAAAGTTGTGGAGACTTGTGGTTGGGAAATGCAACATACATGTAACTCAACTATCTGCCCAAACCTTACTAGCGGGACAGCAAAGAAATTAAAAAAAAAAAAAAAAAAGGCCAAACCCCACATGGACAAAGAAAGCAGAAGAGAGAGTAGCAGGCTTGAGATAGCAATAAAATTATGGAAGATGGAAGGTAATCTCATAGGCCAAATAAAGTGGAAACCTAAGTTGGCTGGGGGTTGGGGGGGTGTGTATGTGTGTAGCTTAGAGGACATCCTCTGTACCAGGTACTGGTCTAAGTGTTGAAGGTACATTGACTCATATAATACCCCAACAATGCTAGAATTTGTACTCTGATTTTGGGGATGAAGTACAGAGAAGTTAAATAACTTGTCCCAGGTCACACAGCAGAATCTGTAGAAGTGTGGCCCAGAGACCATGCTCTGTAGCCTCACAGTGATAAGCAAGTCCTTCTGCACCAAACCCTGGGAGATCTCCAGACTTTGGAAGCTTCAAAATGGAGATGAAAATAGAATTGGTGGGAAGCCTGTATGAAGAGACAGACCCTCAGACTCCTTCACTATCGTACTCAGGCCAGGCAACTGCCCCAGTGCTCCCTGGTAGGATATCACTGGTTTATTCTCTGGAGGCATTACCCAGTTGAGGATGCGACATATATGAAAACAGGAGAATTCAGTGAAAGTTTGTGAACTGACTGGTGAGGCTCTGCAGACCCCCTCCCCATTCACCCCGTGTGCTGGCAGTGAGGTTTACACTCCCCAGGCAGGGACTGGGGGCTCCTCTGTAGGAGTTCTGACCAGTTGGAGAGATGTCAACGCTGACATCTGCAGGTCCTCTCATGAAACAGTTGGCTCACTGATTGATGAGCCCTGCCCACAGACCCAGGGCTCATACAAGCTTTTAGCAGCTTTTTGGTATCTTCCTCTTTTTTCCACCTACATTTTTATTATGGAAAAAGTAAACATATAGAAACATTGGAAATATAGTATAATGAACGCCCATCTACCTTTTAAGTTGTACAATAATTAGCATCTTAACGTATTTGCTTTATCTTTAGATAAATATAGATAAATATATGTCCATATATTGTTTCTCTGAACCATTTGAAAATGAGCTGTGGACACTGTGATATTTCACCCCGACATATTTCAGTAGAAGGTCATTATCATACATAACCGAAATCTATACATAATCCATGACTGCACCCAAGAAAATTTTAAATAATTCTCTAATACAGTCTAATATTCAATCCATATTGAAATTTCCCTCATGGTCCCTAGAATGCCATTGCATTTGGTTATTATGGATCTTTATTCTCCTCCCTAGAACAGTCCTCTTTTGTTTGTCCCCCTCCCCTTTTGGAAGAGACCAGGTC